ATTAGCTTCCCGCAAGTGATGGTCAGATGCTTGTAATTCGATAAGTTCTACTGACCTAGCCCAAGAGAGTTTATTGTGTCATGAAGGAAAAGATGTGTAGTCTCATTATAGATGAAACTAGTTGTGAGAATGTCATATCTATTCATATGGTGAAAAAGTTGAGCCTCACTATCTAGAAACTCTTTCAGCTTTATTCTCTTACGTGGTTAAAGAAAGTGAATGAGACCAACATTGACAAGGGTGGCTAGTAGAGTTTTTCGTTAATGCCACTAACTTATATTTCAATATGAGTTGTTCAAACTTAGAGGATTATTCCTTTACAAATAAGTCATTTTACAATAAATGGGAAGCTTCGAGAATACATCATGACAAGTGTGCTAAGAGATATTTTTATTTGTTGAGATTTGGAATAGTTCAACTCAATTTTAGTAATAGGAGGAGGGATATTTAAATTCAATTATAATAGACATAATAAATGAAAGAAATAAAACCAGAATAAAATAACAAGGAAATAAAAACATAATAAAGCAAAATAGGAAGAACATAATTAGGAATAAGAGCAAATAATAAAATAACAATAAACCGAGAGATGTGACGGGAGAAAAAAAGCCCGAGCTCGATGTACTTTTCAAGTAGTGTAGAATTCGACAGACAGCTTGGAGGTGGTGCTCGTAGGGGTTAGGCATGAGTTGACTCACTATTTCAACTGTGTGGCATATGTCAGGGCGAGTATGAAAGAGGTAGATGAGTTTTTTCATAAGACATTAGTAATGAGTTTTGTTGACAGACAAACATTGCGAATGACAGCTAATTTTTCATTAGGATTCATAGGAACAACAATAGGTTTGCATAGAAGAAGGTTGTTCTTTGTCAAGAGATCAATCACATATTTATGGTGAAAGACAAATTTCTTGAGAGGACCGAGCAACTTCCATGTCTAAGAAGTACCGGAGAGATCCCAAGTCTTTCATCTAGAATGATGAAGTCATAATGTCTTTTAAGGACTCTAATGTTAGGAGATCGTTACCTATAAGAACAATATCGTCAACATAGGCAAAAAGAATAGTTACTTGGCCATTGGAGGAATGTTGAAAGAAGGAATCTTGTGGTGGATAGGAACTTGTAGAAAAAATTACAGCAGGAGAAATCTGCATAAAAAAACGGCAACAAAAGAAATCTGGCGGACAGGATCCTGTAGGGAAGCGGACGGCTGTGTAGAAGGAATTTGGGAGTTGCTGTGTTGAAAACCTTCGGCTAGTAGAATCCCGCGAGTAGAAACAAGAGGAAATATTTTGGAATCGATTGGTTCAACTCCTACAGTTTGCTGGAACTGGTAGAGAAGACCGCCGGTTGTGGAACAGGAGGAATCCTTCGGTTCTGATACCTTGTTAGGAGCAAGAGGCTGGGGGCTGCTGGAACCTGCAGGGGAGGTCGGGGGCTACTGGATCTAGGTTTTGGCTCTGATACCTTGTTGAGATTTGGAATAGATCAGCTCAATTTTATTAATAGGAGGGGTATTTAAACCCAATTACAATAGACATAATAAAAGAAAGAAATAAAACCAGAATAAAATAACAAGGGAAGGAAATAAAAATAGAATAAAGCAAAAGAGGTGGAACATAATCACGAATAAGAGCAAATGATAAGTAATAACGTATTTCCTAAGCTGTTATAAACTAAATATTATTACATCTCTTCTTCATTTTAGACCAAGCCGTGATCTTGCTCTTCTCTTCATGCTGGCACATGCGCTATAGGTTCTTTCATCATAAGAAAACAAATCTTTTCAGTATAATAACAATCAATTTGACTCTTTTGTCAAGTGGAATCTATTTTTGTATTAAAAAAGTTGTTTTTTAGGTTTGAGCCATGAAGTAAACCCATTTGGATCTGTATACAACAATAAGAATAAAAAGCCTTTGTCCTACTAAGTTGGGTTAGCTACGAGAATCCTTTTTTTTCCATTGTGTCCTATTGAGTGTTATTGAGTGTCATATTATTAATTCTAATAAATTAAGATCATTTTTTTATACAACATGCCCAATTTTTTTACGTCTATCTCTACCATTTGGATCAATATAACCATAAAAAATTAATAAATTAAACTTCACTCCAAAATCACTCTCTTCTTTTGTACTCACTGCCAAATTGACGTGGCATTGATTTTTCATCCCTTAAGGCCTTTCAGTGGAATGAGTTTTTTTCATCTATATTCAGTTGGTCATCATTGTTGCTATGAGTGACTTCTCCATATTGTTTTTTTTTTTTAATTCTCCGTGGTAAGCTTTTGGACACCACTTTGAGGATTTAATTATGGCAGCATGGTGAATTATTTCCCCTTTAGAGTTGTTGTTTAGGTCAGCGGAAGGTGAGAGGAGTTAGGTCTATGTTGGGGAAGGGGTAGTTGTGTGTAGATGAATTAGGTTATGTGGAAGGATTTGTAGTTTATTTTACTCTGATACAAAATGACATTGATCTAGGATTCCTAGGTGTATAAGGATCCATGAAGAGAGAGTGAGGATGTGTATCATTATAATAAAGAACAAGAATCAGGGGATAATAAAGTGAACATCTGTTTTCCTTTAGAAAACAACAGAAAGGAGATAATCGGTGATGAAATTGAGGGGCTCGAGGGAGATCCACCCCCTATTTATGAACAAACTACAAGCACAACAATTGAAAAGTGAAGAGGATACAATTCTCTAAAGGAGAAGAATTCAAAGAAAACAATCTCTAATTATAATAATAATAAATCATATGTGTTGAACAAGTTTTATCACCACACATACATAATAAGCAAGCAAAATGTTGCCAATCCTATTCCTAACTAGGTAATAAAGGACTCTAAAGGCAGGTCGGCCCTCTCAGGATGAGAAAACTTCTAACTGAAGCCAGTTCAGGTCTTCTTGTATTCCCTTTTAGGTTGGAAGTCTCTTTTCCGTGTCCCTTGGGGCGGAGAAATCACCCCCTTGTTAGGTAATATTTTAAATTGTAGTAACTATGAAAGTTTTTCACGTACTAGGGTTAAAAAACATGCCGGCAAATGCAAGGAACATGTGATTGAGTGGGTGAGCATAACAAGTGAATTGTCATGATAAGTGGAATGGTAGCAGGCAAATGTCGTGGCTACACAATTGAGCTCAATGAGCTTGTTATCAAGTAGGAAGGTGGGCATATGAGTGAGTGGTTGCTGTTTTGCAAGACATATTTGATTGAGGTACGATGTGTATCAAGCAAAGAGAGCAAGAAGCTAGTGTTTGCTGTAGGATCAAGATCAAAAGAAAGATGGGAGAAGTGGGTTGGTTTGGGGAGGGGTAAAATTTCATTTGCTAGAGCAAATGCTAACTTAGCTGGGATATCACTTTAGATGGTCAAATTGTCATATAATATTCATTAGAGATCCCTCTATTTATGTGTTTTAGGCTACACCTAAAATACCATGAATCGTGCTTCAAATATATAAGCTTCTTTGGTGTGACGCCTTTTCACTTTTGCTGTTAAAAGCTACTTTCTTTATTTTCTATTATATTTTCCAAAAAATATCTTTTCTAAGATAATTTTGAAAAAGCAGTGAAAAGTAACCAAATGAATCATCCAAGAGGAGCGTGCATATTTTTCTATCATAAGAAATAAAAAATTTATCTCAAACAAAGTCATAAAGAATATTTTTCAATATATTATATTTTTTATGCAATAACATACGGATGCCATCAAGTAACTAGAAGAAAGTGGTTTAGATTAAGCTAAAATTAAGTATAGAAAGAAATGACATCTATAATTACTATGCTGACATTCAAACACTAACCAAATCTAGAATGTTAAATTCATCATATGAGTTATTACACATAATGTAAGTTCCAAGAAATTTGGAAGAATGGGGAATGACTTTTTTCTGATTAGTGCCTTGTTGAGAGAACCAATAGAAATCCGCTAAATCTACTTATAATATATTTTTGAGTTTGAATATAGCTTGAATCATTAAAACTCATAACTTTGGAGCAATCTATTGTAGCATTGGCGAATATATGTGTGATATCGCGTGGAGAAGAAATAGAAATAGTAGCAACTGGGTCCTTAGTGGGTTGGTAAATGTCTGTCTTAGCATGGATCTTAATCAGACGTCCCAACTTCTAAAGTTAGAGGAAAAGAAGTGTTACCTCCAATCAACTTATCAACAAACGAGCAACAATAAGAAAAATCGCTAATTCAAGAGTAAGAGTCTAGAGAAATATTCAGGCTATAAGAACTTCCCAAGGGGACAAAGCCAGGAGCAACAACCAACAAATTGAAGACCCCCAATTGATCATGAGTAACTGTTTTACGGTTCAATGAATCCGTACAGTGATCAAAAGCGCTGCCCTTAATATTTTTTTTTTTTATTATTTTGGGTAGGCCTTGAAACAGTCAATAAAAAGTTTCGCAAAAGAAGGCCTAACCTTCAAACTTTTCTTTTTAGCACGTAACTAGGGGAAAAAGTGGGGATTCCCTATCTCCCGAACTGAAGAGATAGAAATGCCTATGTCAACAACAACACGGGCTAATCAATGTTATCACTAAATATAGTGAAAACAGGTTTTAATCCTGTAAGCTGAAGTTTTAGATTTATACCATGTGCATTTAGAACTATTGTGGTCTTTTGGAAAATGATTTAAACTTTACGGACCACTTGGCATTTTTGAATTTAAACCGGCCACTTGCTGAGATGAACCACTTTATGATTATTATTTTTTGATAAACTCATTATCATACTATTTTGACACTTATAATTGTAAATTGGCTTCTCAGTGTTTCTTAGGTTACATATATTAGTTATATAGGTTAGAGTCTGTCTTTTATGCTTTGATTTGTGATCCTTGTTTTGTCTTTTCTTTATATTGTTTGATAGTTCTAAGCCTTGTTTCATATTCACTTCAAATGAAAATGTCATTCAGACCTGGTACTATTTTTATTTGAGCAATGGTAAAACAATCTGACTTCTGTTTTTTTTTATTATCTTCTAGTTTCACTTGCGTCCCTACTCTCAGCTTGGATTGGACAGATCTGCTATTCCGAGCCTGCTTAATCACACACAAATATTCAATGAACTATATTCTGAAATCCCAGAAATTATAGACGTTTCTGAATTTATAAGTTCGTTCTGGAAGAATCATGTTGAAAATAAAGGTTTGAGACCCATGAAGTGTAGTGATGTGGTGGAGGAACCATGGATAAAAGAAGCTTCTCACCTTTCTGACAACTTAGAAAATCAAAGGGAAAATACATCTAAAGAAGGATATCCTTGGCTAAATTTCAATCAGAAACCAGAACTTGATCCCTCTGATATTCCCACCTGCTTGGACAATGTAACCAGAGAAGACATGGAAATTGTTCTGTTGGGTACAGGCTCCGCACAACCCTCAAAGTATCGAAATGTCAGTTCTATCTTTATCAATCTTTTCACCAAAGGAAGTTTACTGCTAGATTGTGGTGAAGGCACTTTGGCACAGTTGAAAAGAAGGTTTATTTAACATTCCACCTCAGTTTTATTTATTCTTTTCATATTTCATAATGCTTTGATCTACTTTTGTTTGCAGGTTTGGAGTTTTAGGCGCAGATAATGCTCTGAAAACATTAAAATGTATATGGATTTCTCATATTCATGCCGATCATCATACTGGTCTAGCTAGAATACTTGCACTGCGAAGCCAGCTTTTGAGGGACTTGCCTCATGAGCCTTTACTTGTAATTGGACCAAGGCCATTGAAGAGATTTTTAGATGCTTATTCTAAACTTGAAGATCTGGATATGTTATTCTTGGACTGCAGACACACAACAGAAGCTTTCATGGATATTGTTCACAGTTCCAATGGCTTTCATGAAGATCGCTTTGCTAATGTTGAAGAAAAAGAAAGCAGAGGAAAAGAAGCCGAGCCTCAAACTTTAGAAACTAACTTATTTGCACAAGGGAGTAAAATGCAAAGCTATTGGAAGAGACCTGGAAGTCCGGTTGATAAGGCTACAGTTATGCCAATTTTGAGGCATCTGAAGGACTTGCTTCTTAAAGCAGGTTTAGAGGCTTTATATAGTGTCCCCGTTGTACACTGCCCTCAGGCATTTGCTATTGTTTTGAAAGCAGCTGAAAGGACAAATAGTGTGGGAAAAGCCATACCAGGCTGGAAACTAGTTTATTCAGGTGATACAAGACCATGCCAATCACTCATCGATGCTTCTCGCAACGCAACTGTTCTTATCCATGAGGTAGGTGATCCTGTCAGGCTGCTTTTTGGTATTTTAATTCTGCTTTCTTCATGCAAAAAGTTTTGGCTCAATGAAAAATTATCATCTTGAATGAACGAAAGGAAGTGCTGAACAAGATCATAACAAAAGAGATGCTGACGTTAAGCTATATTGATGGACGTCACTTTTCACTGGTGTTTGCACCAAAGCAATTAATATAATTTTAGAATATGTTAAATATAGATTGTCATGGAAAGGAAGTACAATAGAAAGCCCATATGGACTTTTCGAAGTCTAGAGGGCAGACCCAGCTTTCTTGAAGTAGCCACCTACATGTGGATGACGTTGAGAGCTGCTAGATTCTTTTCTAATAGGAACTCGAACACAATAAAAAATGACTCATATATATGAACTTGAACGAATCTTTGAAATGATTAAATATCGAAAGTCATTAACTAAGAGAACTTGACTGCGATGAATTTAAAAGCTTGTCTATTAGCATGAATAAAATATTTGCATGGAACGTTAAAAAATTCAACAATTTGAGTGAATGCATGCAATAAAATTCATGATTTAAATGCTAAACAAGATTCCTAATCGCCTTAATCACGCTTGCCTTTGCAATGCGAAGCTACAAGCAGGCAAAATGTGTTATCTATGGAGTCCAAATGAAGTTTGCATGATTTAATTAATTTTAACTCTTACACGTTTAACTCAAGTATTCCTCTCCGAAAGACGTCAAAGTTATCTAAAAAGTGTGCATTTCTTTAAATTGTATTCAAATATTTAGAGTTTTAAAATGCCCAAATGTGTTTCAACTATCGTGTTGAATGTTCGATCATACAGTCTGAGAATGTTGTTTGGAATTAAAATTAGTTAGTTTTAAAATATTTTTCTCTGAAAAGTGTCTTAAATAAGCCAAATTGCCTAAATTTATGAAGTAATGCTCGCATGTGTTTCAATTGCAATTCTATGTTCTTAAATTTAGATTTTTAGAATGTTGTGCTGGTAAAATTTATGCTTGAGCTAAATTATAATCCAACTTAACAAATTTAAGTTGCCCCCATGTGTGTTGACTAACACACTAAATGCCTTAGTAAATGATATGGGAATGTTGTACGGGAAAAAAGTAATAATTTAAATTAAAAATAAATTCACGTCAAGAAATATGCAGAGATGTTTTCAAGTTTTGTAATTTTTTTAAATTAAATCTAGAAAATGTTAAGTATTGCATGCTCTCAAGCCAGTTGCCTTGTTTGTATAGCAAGGCCTTAAGTTCCACCTCGATCAATCTGATCCTCCTCCAGATAAAAATTGAAGTTGATAAGATTTCGTAAGTCAGTTTGATATTCCTTCTTATAAGGACAGGATTTAATTGAAGTAGAACTGATGCTTGTAATAATTTTTAAATAAATGATAAATATGGGAATCTCAAATATCCTTGTTCAAATTTTCATGATGATCGTGTTGAAATTGATTTTTAATCAATGTTGTTTATCTATAAAATTTAAATTTCAAACTACTAAATACTTAGATGTTTAGATGAAATCAATCATTTAAAAGCTAAGATCAAACTCCATCTACTCTTCGTAATCGTTTGCTAACAGTAATAAATTTAGAATAATCTCGAACTCAAAAGAAGCCAATATCATACCAAGTGTACTATTACATTCACTCTCAAAATAATCTCATGTCAATAAGGATATGGTCCGTATCCTCTGTTTATATGGTTTAGCTAATAAGGTTCACAAATAAATCAATTATGACCAGTTCTCTAACTAGGTGTTTTGACCAATGGAGACTACTATATTATGGTCAAAATATTACTTATATATTCCCCAATGGATTTGTCTATTTGAGTTGTGAATCACATGACATACTTGATATGACGCAATACTACTCTTTGTTAGCTATTGTCGACTTGAATTCGTGCTCTTAGACAGTCATTCACTCCTTGTCCATATGGTTCTTTTGAAATAAGCAACCCATAGTTGTCGTAAAGAAACATTTATCAGATTTTTCACTACTTTCTTTTACTAGTCAAACATTGATTATGATAACCTAATATGATAGAACCAATGACTTGATATGTTAACCAGTTTTGTCATTATTTTTCTCACAATCTGCTCGATCAACTCAATGACAACCTAATACCACAGAACCCTGATTGTTGTTACGATATGTTGAGTGATGAACGCTTTAATAAGTAATATTAATTGAAAGCTCTCCCATCAACTGGAAGGGTATTAACCATAGGAACTTGTGCTTATGAGAATTTTGAAATCTCATATTTTTAAATCATTGCAAAATGTGGGTGAAATTTTTGGGTAGTGTCTTATCTATTTCATCCATCTTCTAAAAATTTTGATCCCTAATCTCATGCAAAACTCTCTCTCTCTCATTTATTTCTGAGAGAGGTTGGGGTGCAAATTTTCGGAGCCCGTACTAGGAAAAGCCACTTAAACATTGGGGATAGGGGATTCCTTAGAAGCATCAGCTTTGGAAATTACTTAGCATTAGCGTTGGAAAATCATTGACAAGTATGTATGGCAAGAAAAAAGCCTGGTATTATCTATAACTTTTAAAGAAAGTTTGATAGTAAAATGATGATAATCAAAGAGACCAACTAAAAATTCATCAATCATTTGCAAATTTTACTTGAGTCTGCAAATAATATCAATGTTTGGGAGATCGAGAAAGAATTTTTCAACAATAGTGAATGTGATGTTTGGTTGAGCAAGGTTAGAGATCTCAGCAATAATGAAAATAATGCAAATTTCTCTCAGAAAAAGCTTGGTTGTGTACGTGAGGTTCTTTGGTTTGATGAAAGAATAGAGATGATTGGCTTGACCTTAGACCTGGCAGCCCACCCACTACATTAGGAAAAGGAGAGAAGTACAAGCAAAAGTGGAGGAATCTCGGAGTTGATTTGAACAATCGGAGTAGGGGTTGCGAAGGTTGATTAAAGGGGGACGATTGAAAGTCTAAGAGCCTTTCAAGACGAAGGCAATTGAGCAAAATTATCAAGTGAAGAAGGCCAAGATGATTAGACTAAAATAGATGAGGAGACGAGTGGAACATACCTTAAATGGGAAAAAGAGACTGCCGATCTGAAGGGGATATTGGGGTTTGAAGAAGGAAAATGTGAGGTGATTCCTAACCTAGAAGGATAAACAAGCATGATCATACTTTTAGAAAAAGACGGCGGATGAGGAGGTGACACGAGATGAATGTTGAAGTGTTCGTGATGGGCTGCGGCATTGTGATGATAAAGCTAGGATTTGCTTGCGCAGCTTAAGGCGTCAGGATAGGTTTTGCAGCCGAAAATTTATGAAGGTTGCTTTCCGACTAGCATTAGTAATGTCCATATCTTTTGAAGGATAAGTCATGGGTTACCACGGGAGTAAATGATAATCTTCATTATCTCCTTTCCCTGTGCCCTCTACTTAATATTTATGGTCCCCGCTATATTCATGAGTCATATTTTTTAATAATTGGTTTACTATGCGATGTATTTTCTAGCTTTGTTGTGCCTGCTGCATCTGAATGTGACTGCTATGCAAATACTGCACAGTTAACTTGCCCTGTTAACTATGATCATGATGGGAAAATATTTAATGCAATTTATGTTAGAAAGATTTCCATAGGTACCACTCAACTCCATTGTATTTACACATCTAACACTATACTTCAATTTTTACATACATTCCACTTTTCCTATGCTCGAAAAGTGGATGGTATGCTTAACTTTGTATAAGATAAAATTGTGGAATTTTTTATGTGGAGTAAATTGAGGTTTTAGATATGTAAATCTGTAGGGGTAGAGCCATGTGTGTAAATGCCCAGTTATATTTATATAAAATAAAAATTACAAACTTATAAGACGAATGCTTAGAAGACATTTAGACAAAAGCAAAAATTAACATCATATATTTATCATCTTTAACAAAGAATTTAGATGTCTTCTAGTTTTAAACATTCTTTTTATCACTCTTGAATATTTCACATACAATCTCGATACAAATTGTATCAGGATATCTCAATTGACGTAATATTTATTCGTAAATGGCCTTTCCAACGAAGAACTAATGCGAGTAAATTCCTCGAATTCCACAGGCAACTTTCGAGGATGGCTTGGCAGAGGAAGCCGTGGCAAGAAATCACAGCACCACAATGGAGGCTATAGAGGTGGGATCGAAAGCAGGAGCTTATCGTATAATTCTCACTCATTTCAGCCAGAGATATCCCAAAATCCCAGTTTTTGATGAGGCTCACATGCACAATACATGTGTTGCCTTCGATCTGATGAGCGTTAACGTTGCAGATCTTCCTCTGCTTCCGAAGGTTCTCCCATTTTTAAAAGTGCTTTTCAAAAATGAAATAGTTGTGGATGAATCTGATGATGCTATGGATGTAGATGCAGGCCAATATTGAGGTAGGATGAACATTCCAGCTAATCCTTGTTTCTTTGATCATTCCTTAGAAGATTTAAATGCAAACCACTCAATTCTTATGTATTTACATATTTGCCAACCGAACTTCAATTTTTTACATGTATCACCTTATTTATGCCTTAGAAGATTTAAATGCAAACCACTCAATTCTTAATTATTTACATATTTGCCATCCAAACTTCAATTTTTTACATATATCACCTTATTTATGTATGAAAAAGTGTATTTAACTTTTTGAAAGTTAAAATAATGGTATTTTTGATGTGATATGAAAGATTTGGGTGGTATAAATGTAAAAGTTAATGTTTAGGTGCTAGATATGTAAATACAAATGTTAAAGAGGTTCCTGGCTGTTGTTACATGTGAACTTTAGGGAGCAAGGGAAACTGTATGGTTAACTTATTAATGTTCATGTATTTATCATTAAACAATTATTCATTTCAAGTATAAGGTTCAGACATACATATTTTTGCTTTTTCTTTAATTTACATATTGTTTAATAAGTAAAATTCATCATTTTATGTATCTTAAAAAAGTTTAATTCTTAAATTCAAAACATCAAAATTTGTTTATTAATGGTGAATCATGCATACAATGCCCTAATATCTCTTGCCATTCATCAGGTATATAACCATAATATCTTATTATTAAGCATTTGTAAATGATAAGCTTAGCTATGGGGCTGTTTGGTATTTGAAATTTTTTTATTTAGAAAAAATGAATTAATATTATATTTATTTATATAGTTATCTTTGGTTTTAATTTATGTTGAGTGTTTTCAAAGTAAAAATTCAATGGTGATGGTAGGGAAAAATTATTACATCCGGATGTCAGGATGTGCAGGCAACGGTTCAGATGCACCGGCGGATGGCGGGAATCGGACCTCTGCCCTCCTTGCTGCATCCCGGCCGTTGTCCGCACATTCGGAGTTCGGATGTAATAATTTTTGGTAGCAGCAGAAGGGTAGTGGGTGGGTGGAAGTAAGTAGTAGCCAGGCGGCGGATGAGAAAGGTGGTGGATGCTGGTGGCATGATGATAATTTAAAGTGTATTTATCTTTCACACGAACACACGTCATATACATTCCACATATGTAAGGTCTTAAACCCAAAGACCTCTTGGTTTGGTTGAAAGATAAGGCTCTCAATCAATTGACCAAGGTGATAACTAAAAATGAATTAAGTGTGGAGTTTTAAAGTCCTCAATTTTTTTTTTTCATTAAATCATAAACCAATACTTTTTAACATTGCCTACATTTTTGATATTTTATATTGAAAATTTTCAAGATTAAACAACCCTTAGAAAATAATTTGGATGTCCATAGGGGGTGTAAGCTTGATCTTACATGGCAACAATAGAAATGAGATGCACCTTTTATGTGAGTTTATTTCAATCATTCATCAATCAATGTGACATAATGTTTAAATATGTAGCACATTAGTTGAAAATGAAATGAGGAATTCCAAACTATTTGATTGAGTGCTCATCTTACCCCCAAAAAAAATAGTTGTGATAACAACTTATTCACCTAATTAATCAATAGAAGGGCACAAATGAATTGCAATAGCCCCAATTCAAAGCACTCATATCATAGCTCATGTAAAACTAGGTTAAAAGGTTTTGCAAAGCATGAAGGCTTATTACTAAATATCATTATCTGATGTAATTCTAGGATTAAGATTAATTAAGATTTGTCTTCATAAGTTCTTTAACATAAATATAAATTTTAAAAAGAAATGTTTTATGATAAACATATGTTTTATCTTTAAATTAGATTTATTTTGTATTGTTTAATTTTTAGCCTGTAAATAAGAGCTGAATGAGACAAACAATATAATGCGTTTGATGGTTATAATTGTTACATGTGAGAAAATTTGTAGTTATTTAGTGAGATTTTTATATCTTAGTTTTGCACGAAGTCCTTGCATGTGTACAAATAAAAGAAAAATCAGGTTTTAGAAAATCAGACCGGACATTGAACCGACAGACGAAGAGGTTAAGGTTCAACAGTTGAACCAAGATTGGATTGAGAGTTGAATCGAGTGACGTCATAAATATAAGAAAATATTAAATATAACTTAAATGGCATAAAAATTAGATGCAACTCGGTATGGAAGGTCAACACAAGAGAAACATAACCAAAAAATATAAAAATGTAAAAAAGAAAAAGCAATAGACTAATAGTCATGCATCTTTCAGAGAAGTTGAAGAAGAAAATGAAGTTGGGAATAATTAGTACAAGTCACTTTCTTCATGATATTACAAGATTTGAACCATTCATCATGATTTCCAATAAAAATTTGGCATAAGATAAAAAAAGTATACTTATAATCGGTTGACAGGTTCGGCCTCCGATTCCAGCCAATTGACCGGTTTGATAACCGGTTCTAACAAGTTCGATCGCCGGTTCCATTCGGTTTTTTTTTGTTAGATGGAGAGCTGGTTTTCAGTCCAACCAGAATCAGACCATCAACAGGTTCACGGTCGAACTTATTTTTAAAATGCTGAGAAAAACATAGGAGATAAATTTTAATACGAAAACCCCAAGAAGACAAACAAATAAATATGACTCATAGCCAATAGTTATTTAGAAATAAATAAAAAGAGAGCCAAATAAAGAATAATTTACATATATCCAGAACAATTCTCATTTATTATGTATTGCCTAAAATATAACAAATTTTATGTATTAAATATCTATAAAATATTCATTTGATTTTCAAGAATTAAATTTCGAAAATAAATTCCATTCGAATTAATTAAAAACTGAAAATTTTAGATATATAGGGGTGTATTTCGAGCTCAAAAGCTGTGTTTGTGTTCGGCTTGTTTGCTTAGCGAGTCGAACACGAGTTGTTCACGAACAAAAAGTCGTTCTGACAACCTTAATCACTTAGCCATAAGATGTTAAGGGTTTGGATAATATTTAAAAATTATTGTTTATATTAAAACATCATTTGAATCTAATTTAATAATTTTTCTTCTATTTTCTTAATTAATATTTTTAATTAATTATAGATCTTTGTAGCCTTGTGGTCAATTAATTTTTTTTAAAATACTACTCATCAATATATATATATATATATATGATAAGTAGTATTGCGAGCCAAAACGAGCGAAGCACGAACGAAGAAATATTTGTTCATGTTCGGCTCGTTAACTTAGTGAACAAGGAGAACACGAGCCTCTTAAAGAGCCGG